AAGATGTGTGAAGGAATAGATGATGCTGTGCATTGTGATTTCAGAATTATTATTGATTGATCGGGAAAAGATCAAATTGAATATTCTTCTTTTTTTCTTTCTTGCCTTTAAAATTTGCAAGGGCATGAGTTAGTTAGCACGAGCTATGTTTGAAAGCAGATTTTAATAAGATATCATATAGGGTATTTTCTGAGGATGTTTTGTGGTAACATAACCAGTCCATATGAACTGTTATACTGGTTCCGGGCCACTAATTCAATCAAAACTATTCGCCACAACTTGTTTTAAGACAGTATTGAGGATTTGATTGGAATTTTGGAATTTTCATTTTTTGCAAGTTTCAGAAACGTGAGCTTGCATTGTCTGGAGATAGTAAAGCAAGAGTATATTCAAACAGTCGTATCTGGCAAATGTTGACCGATGTAGAACGTGAACAGCTAAGAAAAGGTAAGCTATATATGTTAAAGTAGTTATGTAACAATTCTTATTCTCACTTTACCGCAATTGAAGCTTTGTATAAGTTCGAAATTCTCTAATACTTAAAACCAAATGGCATTGATGTAAATTGAATATTTCATTGATAGGGCAATTCATTGATTTTTGATAAGATATGTTTCAAATTCGACATCATCAAAAAATTAGAGTAATTAACCAAAGGTGTTTGCCGTTTAATTGAGTTCATCCAGAGGTTTTGTTGTTGTTTATCAGCTGTAAAGGAGGATTGTAGCGTTGAGGTCAGGGAAACATAATAACAAGAAGGGTAAGGGTTTTCTCCTCATACCTATGTTTTATTGTTAGTCTCTGTTTCCATCGGGTTGTAAATTACCCATTGATGCTATTTTTCGATCATCGAAAGAAAGAATGAAGGGAGAGGATAATCATAGGTAGGAGTAGAAAAAATGGAAAAGAAATTAATTAAAATTTTTTTTTCATTCTTTTGTAATTATAAGATAAATTGATAGTGTATGCAAATTTTCAATTTCGAAATTTTAGCAAATCAGTCGTACACTTAGTATAGTTTTTTAGGAGGTGAAAGAGTAAATGATTTTTATCCAAGGTTCATAGAGTATCAGAATCATCGATAGGAACGTATTGATAGAGGTTTGTAATGAACGTGTAGCATGCTATTAAATTTTAATCGTTTTTTTTTTTTTACTATTCCAGTTCAGCATAAAGAATTCATTTCATCATTCAGCGAATCATAATTTCTTTCAAAAAATAAAAGTAGGATTGTATATCGTTATGCCAGAGTGGTCGTACGTGGGAGTAATGTTAAGAGATTATAATACCGATATGTTTCAGATGGCAATGATATTCCGTTGATGGCATTAGGCGACTATTGCCATTCATCTTAGAATTATCATTCTGTAAATTATATTTTTTAGTTAGAAATGATTTCTAGAATAATTCTAAAGATGAGTGGTAACAATATTCCAATAATGGTGCTGTAATGCTACCAGTGGAACATTGTCAGAAGATTAATGAAAATTTTCATCATCAGAAATGAGGACTATGAATGAATGTTTAGTTGAACATTTATCTGAAATATTGCTGTTGCACTTTTTAAGGTTATTTCATAATTATTAATTATTTACTTCCTTTACTTTCGTTTCAGAACGTCACAAGATAAGCACATACAAAACTTCGTTGTGTAGAGTATTTCGAAAAACTGGGCAATGTGGATATGGAGAAGCATGTATTTTTGCACATGGTGAAGAAGAACTTCGTCTTCCACCTACGGTAAATTATATGAAACTTATGAACCTTGATTGTCAACCAGAAGGAAAATATTTCGGTTGCGCCGAAACACATTAATAAAACACAGGAAATTTTGAAGTGACGGTTAGATCAGACAAGAGTTTAGTTCAGACAAGACATGTATAGTATTTATGATAAATTGGAAGATTTTTGATTTAACCTTGTGATATACTGATGAGGAATCTGTATTATTTTGTAGACATCGTTATTCAGATGCTATCAGGTACCTTGCAGTGCTACTTAAAAACTAAGTCTACATTGAACTTATACCACTTGATAATTTTCTGCCTTATAGGATCATCCAAAGTATAAAACTCAATTGTGCAATAAGTTTATCAAGTGGAATTACTGCCCCTATGGTGATCGTTGCCAGTTCATCCATAAACGTTACAATGAAAATATGAGATTCACTGGCGTGGTGCCTAATTTTTGCTTTCTCAGCTCTATTTTTGGGTTTATGCCATGTAATGCGATAAATTTAGATGAATTCAGTTATGTAGTGAATCGATCAGTTAATCGTTTGTCATTTCACTCAACAAATAATTGATCAATTAGCGCTTGATTTATCGATTTTGATAAATTTTGTATTAAAGTTGCAGATGAAAATGGGCGATTCAAAAAGTGTCAGAAATAATATTTCACATATTGAAAGCTTTAGTGTGGAACATATGAATACAAGGTGGTTATTGGTTTTTACAGTTGAAATTCCTCAAAGTTTTTTTCATCATGATCAATATTACAGAGTAGTGTTTTCAGGTATGATGCATGAGATGTCTATCATATATACATAACGTCTTTTTTAGTATTAGATCTATGAGCTCACCAGTTGCTCTCGGGAGAAATTTATTGCTTGCAGAACAGAGTGGCTTTTGTCATTCTGTTGCAGGCCCTGTTTTTAATCAAACAGGAAATACGGAGCATTTTATAGAGGTACGTGTTTTGTCGTATATGAAGATTTAAAATAGGTTTTAATAACTTTGGATAGATTTGTTGATAATTTGATGTCAGGGAATGCTGTCCGAAATGTCAGTCCAGTACGTATGCTAGCTAGCAGAGAGTTGAAAGGATATGAATGTATACTGAGAGGATTTATTTTGGAAAAGTTAGTAAATATCCAATATACTATATACAGTGAATTATTTGTTGTTAGTTTGTTCAAAATCTATGATGATAACAGTTCATTTTTAGACGACTAATAACAAAAATACGGGAAATATTGTCTACAGAGATCAGCCACTTGAAGCGACTGGTCCGGTTATGAGTAATAGTATTTTAAACCAAGTCAATTCGGTTGATAATGACAATTTCCTCGAGTGGCTTGATGAACAACTCAAGAAAATGTTAGTCTCTGCTTCTGAAGGAATTTTCGAAACATAGTTCTCTTTGATTGTTCTTCCTGTAACGCTTCGTCCAATAGGACAGAATGTTTTTTTTTACATTCTTACTGTGAAAAAAGTATTAGGTTCGCATAGTTTATTATTGTTTGATGAAAGAATACGTTAAATATCATTCACGATAAAGTAATGTTAATTGTTTTTGTTTGTCTATAGGTGTTTCAAGAATGCAGTACTAGGATCCTCTAACATATGTCTAGAATGAAATTCAATATCTTAGACAAAAGAAAATAACAATGAAGAAACTGTTACAGGAAAATGATGGAATCATGTTAAGAAATGACTCGAGTGATGTTTAAATAAGATCTTATCCAGGATATTTAAATTTGTGAATTTCTTAAAAATGATATTCTGTTTTTAAAAAATCAAAAGAAGTAAAACTCTGTTTTTGATATTTTATTGATTTGCATCGTGAATGATTATTGATTTATTATCGATTTTTTAAAATTATATGATATGTGAGCAAAACTCTGTAATTTTAATGTGCTAGTTTTCCTGTTAAGTAGTTTTTTTTATTTCTCTCATCTGTTTCACTTATTAGATTTATATTTTGGAAGTTAAGTTGTCTGATGAATGCTTTTTATCTTTTCTACGGCTGATGAATATTGAAAATGGATTGTTTTACGAAACTCTATTCACTATTTCAGTTGCATATTATAAGTTTGCTTTCACACTCTCTCTATTTTTTCAAGGATTAATTTTGAAAGGATGTTGTCGTTAACTGTGTTGTAAAATAAGTTTTCATAGTCACTAATTATTTCGCGGAAGTGATCTTCAAAATATCCTTAAAACAGACATCTAATAGTTTGAAACAGGTCTACAACTAAATATCATTGAATTTATGGAATTTTATTGGAGCAGTTATACAATTAGTATTTAAAGTTAATCATTGGAAAAGGTTTAAGGTTAATATGGTCAATTATTTGCTATAAATTTAAAATCTTTAATTTTTCGTTTCATTTTGATTTTTTGTTATGATAATTTTGGAGCATTATTTTGCTATCGCATTTAACACTTTTAAATGTTTGATCTGAAAAATAAAGTATGCAGCGACAACTATATCGTCATTTGCAATTTGCAAATTTCATCGCAGTTTTTTTTTTTCTTTCAATAATCGATTTATTATTAAAACGCCTTAATACAAGAGTGTGCTTTGGTTGACAATGAAGACAACCGATATGATCGATGTAACACATGACAGCATAGCTGTAAAATTTATTTCTTAAAACTGTTTAATTTGGATCATTCCGATTGCTTTCATAAATAAGCAACAAAGGAAAGGAAAGATTGGTGGCATTAAAATGATGAGATGTAACAATGGGATGCAGCGAAAATGTAACATTGTTGTAATTTACATGAGGAGGTTGGCTAATTGATGATGATTCATTGAAATATAGCAAGAATTTGTGAATTCCAAAAATGTACGCGGACAACTTTCATTTCAATAAAAAGAATTCAGATCAGAAGTGTGCGAATTTTTGATTGAATCAGATTACAATGGGATATTCTCATTGTCTTCCATAATAATAGAAAATTGTGGCAAATCCGCCGATTAATTTTATGTATCAGTTAAGATGGTACTGCGATTATGTCACACCATTCATTCCTGTCTCCTTTCTTCTTGCGAATCATTTGTGTGTGTTACAATTTTTCGAAGAAATATTTTTCACAATGTTAAGGGAAAAATTAAAATTTGAATAGACAATGCTATTCTTTAGTATTCCGATTTTTGTAAATTATATTTTCGATGAATTTATTTTCTATTTTTTTGTACATTTATTGAACATTTATTTTTCTAGCATGCAATATATATATGTATATCCAAGCAAGAAATATAAATAACGCAAAAAAAAAATTTTTTTTTTGTGATTTCAAAAAAATAAAAATTTTGATGCAGCTTGAAAAAGCTGTATTTAAAATGTAAAATTTTTCGCAGCAGTGCATATTTTTAAAATTTACGAATTCTCATTCATATTCCAGGAATTCATAAATCACCAGGTAATCGGCTTTTTTATGTGATTTTTCTTGTTTCATTATGATTTGATATATGAGACTGCATTCAATCATTTAATTATTATTTTGCTTTTCGACAAAGTGATTTTTCTGCATGAGATGTTTAAAATATGATAATTTTTGCAAATTGTTTTTGGAAAAGAATTTTTCTTTCCGAAATTATATAATTTTTATTTTTCAGTTGTGCAGTTTTCAATCTTTTTTTTGATGTTTTTAAATGTAGTAGTAACAGGTCGGATATCTAAACTGATCATAACTTGAATTTTTTCATTTCTTATTTTTTTGTTTACCACATTTTGATTTTAGTTTTCATATTTTTATAGTTCCTTAACTTGCTGATCATTTCAACAAAAATCTATTTGGTGATAATGCAATCGCATTTTAAAATGTTTTTCTCGATCGAAGAGATTTATAAAACTTTTAAAAATTGTTTGAATTTATCCAATATTTAAAAAACACCACAAATCTTCTGATGTGCCGTGAGATTCGGTTCTTCTGTGACACGAGAACTATATATATATTTTTTGAAAATATCCGAAAAAAAAATTGTTAAAAAGGATTTCTCGTCTTTTCCGTAGAAAGAAGTAACGGATGTGAAAACCGGATATTAGACAAATATCTAAGACAGTAAAGTGTGTCGCAAACAAGTCTTTCCGACATAATTATTTACAGTTAAACGATGAAATTAGCACATGTTGTAATATGTGCCAATTTTATTTTCTGATTGAGTATAAATGTTGTTTTGAAAAATATGATATTATTCAAATCTGGAAAGTGGTTGTTTGTCAATTTAAATATTTCACATAATTCTTATTCTCCTTAGATTTCTTTCTTCTCTTGCTATCATTTAAATTATTACTCAATTGATAATATATTTTTCATTAAAAATTTAACATTATCATTTGTTTATTTATGAATTGTCTGTTTTCTTAACTTAATATTTAAAAATTTTCCGTGGATCCATTTTTTTTTCGAATATTTTCCATTATCCAATTTTTTTTTTCGATAAAATTTGGTGAAAAGAAATATATGCGTACATCCATGTAAAATGTATAATAATAAATGAGATGGGAGAAAAAAAATCAAAAAAAAATTGGAATTACAAATGACTTTCGTATTTTGATATACAATTAAAAATGGTTCTCGGTTTTTTTGGACATAGCAATTCTTACAGTTAAAAGTCGATTTCATCGATTATAGCACAAAGAACAGGTTTTTTTTCAAACTGATAAACAAACATTATTTATGGTGAGCAAA